TGAAGCGACTCAACACTAGTTCTCTGAAACCTCTGCCTGGAAAAATTACTCTCAATCGAATCCAGGAGGATGGAACTGGGTCTGTGGAGTGTCACAGAGAGTTGGATGAACTGGATCAAACCACTGTTTGGAACCTGATTCCTCCTGCCTTAGAATGCAAAACTATAGGTAAGCATATGTCTACTGTTAAATATCAGTTTAATGGTCTGGCTTTGTGTGACACAGGACGAAGAAGAAGTACATATACCAGGTGGAGACTACGCAAGTTCTGGCTTGTCTTCAAGAACAGTCCAGTCGACGTGCGAGAAAAGATACAAGGGAATGTCATGTCATTCACTTTTGAGTCAAAACACACTGCTAAGAAGAACAGTTGTGATCAGTCCTTACAAGTGACACAGACTCTGTCTGACAAGGGTATGATCTATAACACTTCTCTCTCTCAGGATAACTGCATGTTTCTTGGATACCCTATGTTGAATTATCAAACAAAATGAAAACTGAGCATATTTATGTTTGGCACCATTTATTTCTAGAGTTTGCTAAGCGATGTCTAGTTGAGAGCACATTGGTTTGCTCTGGTGATCAGTCCGCAAAAATGTTTATCAAAACTCTGCTTTCAAAAATGGTTGCTAAGTCACAAAAACGTCTTGCTCCTTATGAGCACTAAGTCTTGACCTGTTCTGGTTGGTTGTGTGGTTCATAGTTGTTTCATGATTGCAGGCGTATTTAACCCCGTGTACAGATCACCTCATAAAAACCTCTTATCGACAAGTCAGCGCAGGAAAAGAGCTACTCATCATGCATGTTCAGAATCTTATTTTTTCCCTTCTTTTCTTTTTACCTCTCTTCTCTGGGTTGTTGGGGATTTGCTCTTGTCTTTATCAAAAGAAAATAAAAGAGGACCAAAAAGATGTTAAAGAAAATCAAGGGGGGAGAAAAGTCCTGACCCGCAAAAGAAAAATTTTGTGTCTCACACAGAGGGGAGAAAAGTCCTAACCTGTAAAAGAAAAATAAAATGTTGTGTCACACACGGGGAGAAAAGTCCTGACCTATATAAAGAGGATGCTTAAAGAAAAAAAAAACAACAAGGGCTTTGGGAACTTCTTCTTTTTCTCATCTTTTCTCTTCACTCACTATGCTTTTTCTGACTCTGAACATGTATGATGATGTGAAGACTAGTCTGAGTTGATCACTGAGTGTGAAAACTCCTCTTTGAGAAATAGCTACCTCCATGAGCTGGTGAGTTTATCACTTTCTAAAAGCTTCCGCTTGCTATTTTGCCTTCAATATGTGGTGTCACATACCCTCTAGGACAGGTTCAAGGGTTGGTGTCTCTATTCTGTATATATGTGTATATGTTTTTGGTTGAAGTATCTTTACATCTTATCTCTCATGTTCTGATCTCAGGAAATCAGTGTGTTTCGCACTCTAAATGTTGTATTCAGTGTCTCTAGAAACTCTATGGTTGCATGCATGATTGCACCTTGTAATTGTCATTTGAGTCAACAACCTTTGAATCTGTTTGTCCTAATTCCTAAGGATTTGTGTTGCATCTGTCTAGCTTCTAGATTAGCATTATCTGAAGTTATTTTGGTTAAGTCACATGAGTTGTGCATTGATAAACTCAGGCTGTTCTAACTAGTATTGCATGAGTCTGATCTGTGTTTCCACAAATGATGCATACCTTATTGTTCTTGTAGCCTTCTTAATCATGTGTCATATATTGCTCATTTTGTTAAGCCTTGCTTAAAGAAAGTTGAAATACATATCCTAAGATAGATTGATCAGTTCTAAAGGTGACACGGATGGACTCTTTTGCATTCATAATGGTTTAATTTGATCATTTTGGTGTCATTGATATTATTGCACTATTCGTGTCTAAAAGTCAATTGGTTTCCTGTGCATCTGATCCTGAGTCATTGGTTTTGAGATTATGTGGCTTTGTGCTGTCTTAGACAAGGCTGGTGGTTCTAAGGACAATAAAGCTACATCCAAGAAGGTCGTTAAAATTGAGCCAAAATCTAAGTTTTCTCGACATATTCAACTTCTCATCTTATCTTTGACAATGGCTAGTCGGTGTCTACTTGAGGATTTACCCTTCTTGCTCATGATTGTATTGTGCTTACTCATGATCGCAAGTACATTGAGACTGAGAGATGCGTGTTTGTACTTCTGAGGATCTCAAAGTTCGTGCTGCTTAGAATTTGATTGAGTATGATGGTCTTCCTTCCACCATGTTTCCTGATATGTCTTATGATTATGAGCACTCTATATCTTGGAGTGAGGAACCAATTGAGGAAGGAGTGGCTCTATATGGGGGTGGACTACTCTAAGATGGGATGAGCTTACATCACCACGTCTGTGTCTGATCATGGTACTAATGTACAAAAGTGTATGCTACAACTGGATACAAGTTGAGAACATGTCCGCAACAAAGACAAGACTGAGCAACACTGGTGTATGCTCAGATTGTAACAAGTACCTCTGTTAATGATTGGCAACAAGAATTCCTTCAACATTGGCAACTGGTGTATGATCAGATTGTAACAAGTACCTCTGTTAGCACACAAAAGCTGATAGGACATAACCACCTCTGTTGCACCTAAGAACCTTCAGCTGGATCAGAACACTTCGTGCCTCTCAGACATTCCTCCAAACCCAAAGGTTATGTGTCTGTCTACTGATCTCAAGAATCTAAACCTTATAATCAAAGACTTCATATAAAACTCTCAGGTATGATCTTGTTCCCTCCTTCAAAAGATGATATCTTAAATGACTAATGTTTTTACATGAGTATGCATCCAAGCTGGGGGGAACAAGGAATGACAAGCAAGGCTATGAGTATAATAGAGGGAATTGACAATGTTTTCTTATATCTCTAAAGTACTTTAGATGATATCTTAAACATTGAGACT